TGTTTTTAAGACAATTGATTTGTTTGTACCTAAGAAGCGGACGTATAGTAAGTTTCCCATCTGGTTTAATGGTGATCTAAAAGGCTTAACAGTATTAAAGAAACAAGCTCATAAGCTGTTCAAACAAACTAACATGCAAGTACATTATCAAAACTTTTCAAATTTAAGAAAACAATGTAAAGATCTGAGCCGGATTTGTTATGACACGTATATTAATAGAGTTGAAGGTGATGTGGTGTGTAAGTTACACACCACATCACCTTGTACACAGTGTAACCCTAAACAATTTTGGAGTTTTGTCAAAAGTAAAAGGAGAACAGGTGATATTCCTAAGACGGTTTTTTTAGAGGGGACAGTTTGTCACGATGGCCTATCTATCGCGAATCTGTTTGCATCTCATTTTGAATCGGTTTATGCCAATTCAAGGGGAGCAGATATTGTGGATGATTCAATAGCGGGTAAAAATTCGGTAGATTTGTCCTCTATTCGTGTATCATATGAAAATTTATACATTACTTTACAAAAATTGGATTGCCGAAAAGGCGTTGGGCCGGATGGTATATCCAATTTATTCTTAAACAGAACTGCGCCATCATTATGTGACCCCCTTTTATTTATTTTTAACAAATCGCTAGGAACCGGAGTCTTTCCTGAAGCATGGAAGAGCTCTTATGTTTTGCCAATATTTAAATCTGGTGACAAGGGAAATGTTAGGAATTACAGGCAGGTATGCATTCAATCAGCTATCCCTAAAATTTTTGAAAAACTTGTAATCCCTTTTATAACGTTTGCATTTAAAAACATCATTATTCCACAGGAGCATGGCTTTACTGAGGGGCGTTCAACAGTTACAAACCTATTTTCTTGTCAATTTTATCTCTTCCTGCATGGATAAGGGTATGGAAGTGCATGCAATTTATACCGACTTCAGTAAGGCGTTTGATGTTGTGAGTCATGATGTTTTGTTACTTAAGCTCGGGAGGTACGGATTGCAATCGCCTTTTCACCAATGGATTGCTTCGTACCTCGCGGGACGTAGTCAGCGGGTAAAACTAAATGGTTTTATGTCGGATGTCATTAATGTCACCAGTGGAGTTCCGCAAGGTTCGCACTTGGGACCTATTTTATTTTCAATTTTCGTTAATGACATCGGTAATAGTTTTAAATCCCCATTTCTTTTGTTTGCGGACGATTTGAAGCTGTATCGTTGTATCGAGGCTGACAGGGATGTGGAAGCCTTGCAGAGTGACCTGAATGTACTTAATGAATGGTGCCAGAAGAACCAATTGTTTTTGAATAATGACAAATGCTCTGTTATGGTCTTTTCCAGAAGTAAAGTTAAACACTTAAATTCCCATTATATTAATAATTTCAAGTTAAAATCTCTTGAGATGGTTAACGACCTTGGTGTTATTTTGGACAGCAAACTGCAATTTCACAACCATTTTGACAAAATGGTTGCGGAAGCAAACAGGATGTTGGGTTTCTTACTGCGCACGACTGTCGATTTTAGGTAATGCAGATCACTGTTGGCTCTATTTACATCCCTGGTACGCTCTAAACTAGAATATGCTTCTACGATTTGGTCTCCAGTTTATAATGTTCACATTAATAGGTTGGAGGCCATTCAGAATAAGTTTATCCGTTATATGCGTTATAAGCTGTCTCTTCCACTAAGCACTGATCAAACAAGGCAGTATTTGGGGCTTAAAACACTTACACAGAGAAGAAAAGATATGTATGCAACATTTTTTTATAAAGTGATTAATAATTTCATTGTAGACCCTGAGATCCTGGCTTGTTTTTTTATGCAAATTCCTATAAGAGTCTTGAGAAAGTATCCCCTTTTACAAGTTCCATTATTTCTTACTGTGTATGCTAGCAATTCGCCTATATGTCGTGTGACTAAGACTGTTAATGTGTACTTTTAGACAGACGCCAATTAAATCGGATGTGATACTATATAATTTATATTTATTTTGAGTTATTTATTTTATTGGGGGTTGTTTTTTTTATGTACCTGTAAACTAATATATTGTTACTGCTATTATTTGCGTTAATAAAGAAATTATTATTATTATTATTACTATTTTCCGTAACTGTACAACGAATAGTAAATAAAAACGAGCCGTCAACTTAAAAAAACGGAACAAAAAACTAAAAATCCAAAGGATTAAAGAATTAATAAACAAAACATTTAAAAACCTATTTTATATTAATACTGAAATTGAACTAAGAAGAATAGAAACGCTACAACCAATAAAGAAAATACTAAAAACAAAAAAAAAGGTTTCTTACTAAAATCAAACACTGACAAAAAAGAATTGGAAGAGAATAACTAACTAACAAAATTATAAAAAGTTTTAAAGAAACTACATCCACAATAAATTAACAGCAACTCACCTATGAACCCACCTATGCCGCAGTAATTTCATCAGTTGAAACAAATATTAATGACGAATTAATAAGTGAGCATTTAAAACAAAATAACATCAATCACAGATTCTGCAAAAGGATTATTGCAAGAGCGACAAACAAAACAACAATGATGATCAGAATTATAACTGGGTGTGCTATTTCCTGCTCAAAATGTGCAAAATACGATCACGTCACGGAAAAATGTCCCAATCAAACAAAATGCGACAAGTGTATGGAAAATCACCCCTCCGAAAAATGCGAAAAGAATCTGCCTCACAAATGTCTGGTGAACACAGAGCATGGTCAGTAAAATGCCCCAACCGCCCAAAAGCGCAATAGAAGGTATTCCAAACACAAAAATTAAAACTCTTAATAAAACTTCAAGTGAAATAGACAAAAATATCACAAAAAAAAACAGATTTCACAATCCTTTAACAATACTTGATCATATAATTTATACTTATATTAACAAAATAAATAAACCTAATCTTAAGGATCGGGAAGAATTACCCTATTGAAAATGCCATATAGAACCCATATTGAATCCGATAAGGAAACGTATCTGGTTCTATATGGTTTTATAGGTCCTATATGGAAAGTCCTGGTTTACATTACGGATTCTATATGGTTGAATATGGATTTCCATTTTAAAAATTTTCATATTCAACCATATAGGGAAACCTATCTGGAAATACATATAGAACAGAAACCAGATAAATCCATATACAACCATATACATGTCTTTATAAAGACATGTATATGGATGTATGGATTTATCTGGTTTCTGTTCTATATGTATTTCCAGATAGGTTTCCCTATCTGGTTCTATAGTGTTTTAGAGTGTTTTTATCTGGTTCTATAATGTAATCTTCTATCTGGTTCTATAGTGAAATGCCTGTTTCAAATACCTATATTGAACCAGATAGAAACCATATAGAATCCAGATACGTGTTTTTTATATGGTTCTATATGGCATTTTCAATAGGGTACTTAGGAAACTAAAACAGAGATTCTTTTATCTCTACCAAATAGAAACCACAGCTGCTTTCTGTGGAAATAGAATGTATATTCTAATGCACAACCTTGATACTCCCAACAGCAAATCACCTACAGAAACTCTTCAAATAGCAGAAAATGTTCAAGTCCACGTCAGAAATTAAGTTACTCTACAACAATTTTAACAGTTACAACAAAAGAAAACACCTTCTTAACCACTATATTGAAAAAAATAACATAAATTGCGTGCTATTGGTAGAAACTAAGCTAGAACAAAATTGTAACACTCCCCAAGTCTGATTCTAAACAACACTCCAATCCTCCCAAAAACAGCAGTAAAATATCTTGGCATCCAACTTGACAACAAAGTAAACCTGAAACACTTGCAGATGACCAAGAAGAAAATACAAGCAAGAGCAAAACATTTCAGAGCACTGACTTACAAAGGAGATGGGATAAACATGGATGTTGCCTGCAAAATATATAAAACCATTTGCAGGCCCATTTTAGAGTATGCTTGGCCAATTTACACAAATTCTCAAAAGTCCACAAGAAAGAACATTAAAGTGGGAGAGACATCAGCACTTAAGATACTTACCAGAATACGCCACCCCAACAACCCCCTTCACAATCCATCAAATATATTGTTGTACAGGGGAACAGGGATTGAACCAATTAAAGATAGACTTCAAAGGTTAACCACAAATTTCTTCCTAAAACAACACAACATAGAAACACTGGAAGAACACTGCTTTACAAGACACCCAGAAGAACAGAAATTCAAACATCCCGAAAACACGTTCTAGACTAACTTCTTTTTTTTCTATACTCAGTTAAATTAAAAAGCATTACCATTGCCATTATTATTGTTTAATATCAATTTAAAATTAAGCACACTTGGCTGAAGGACCTCAGTCATTGGCCATTTAATCTTATGTTGTAATCTTACATTGTATGTATTTACATAAGGATTAATAAATACTTTATTTATTTATTTTTAGTCTACTGAATTTTGTGTTTAATAATAACACAGTTTGTGATTTTATTGGAATGTACAGGGTTTTATTTAACTAAAACATAAGTAAAATACTTTGTTAGCATTAAAAGGCAGATCTGATGTAAACTTTATATTTTTTTAAATAAAAACTCATTCAAGCCATTCAATATATGTAGTTTTAATAATCATTATCATAAAATATTAATTTTTAACAATAAATACCTACAAATTGAATGAGGACCCAAGTACATAGATATAGATATGGGGTACATTGGACCCCACCTGACCCATCTCGTAAATTTGCGTCAATTGTCCGTTGCCGGGTTAATAAGTGTGGTTTAATTTGATTTCCGGCTATGTTATGTTTCAAATAGATCAACCACTGATGGCTGTGACTGTTTGCCAACTCCTGAATTTGGCAGATAACCCTTTTATACTATGCAGTCAGTGGTTGATCTATTTGAAACATAACTGGAAACGTCATGTTTTAAGTGATGCAATAATTTTGCCTGTCAGTCACAAAAAAACAATTAATTTAAACAGCAAACATACTAATAATTAAAACTTAGTAATGGATAATAAAACTTACCTGAGAGGCCATATAAATTGCAGCTGCAGCTACTGAAATTGGTGATCTTCCAGGGACAATATCTAATTCAACAGCTTTTCTAGCAATGTGAGTAGCTGCTCTTTGAACCATATTGGGAAGAGCTAAATTGGAGCAAAAACGTGACATGAAATCACCAGTAGTGATGAGATCAACAGAAGTTTCCAATGCTTTTAATATAAGCTTAAAACACCTTCCTATTTCCCTTTTACTAATTTTACTAACAGCACAAATTTCCTTAAAAGTTCTAGGTACTCCCTCTTGTCTACAAGCTATGTATAAACAAGCAGATGCAATTGCATCATTTGAGCGCCCTAAAATAATAGTTTATGTTTCAAAATTATAAATACAATTTATTAAAAGTTTACCTTTAAGATTTCTTCCATCATGTACTTGTTTAAATAAGTTATTTGCCCTATCAACTATGGTCCTAGGTAAGTTTATTCTATCAGCCATTGCATTTATTTCCTTAAAAGCATTTATTAATGCCCTATCAGAACTATTCATAGTTCTTCTATTTTGATAACGTGCTACTCCAAATGAGTCAAAGGAAGCATCACCTTAAATAATTGTTTTTTTTATTTTTTTAAATGCTTATGATCTAAACTAGAAGTCTCTTTATTTAAAACAAACATGAAATTTCAATTACCTCGGCCAGGCCCAATCATTGTAGTCAAATCTGAACCACCTAATAATGGATTTTCTGGCCCACCAACACGAGATGGATCCACTCCATTTTTTTCATTACTGAAAGTTCTCCATTCTGAACCGACATCAATTACCCTAAAAATTAAAACAAATGGAAGTAACCTTTAATAGAAAAAATAAAATTACCTATCACCAACAACAAGGCCACATTCTGAACAAATTTGATCCCCAGCCCTGTAATCCTCAATTAATGGGGCATCTGGGTGAGCAGGGCACACAACTTTATTTGTGTCAAATCTACAGAAAGTATACACATATTAAATACATTATTTCAGATAAAATTATATTATAAACCATTAATTTAAATAAATATAACTTTATAAAAATAGATAAGAATAGATTGTTTATATACCTTGACGTGCTCGCCATTTTTAAAACTTTGACACTTGACTGTTAACCAGCATTGCCAACTGCTTCTGTGTAAAATCTCTAAAACATTTGAATCAGAGACTTTAGGGACCTGCAGATCATGATTTGAATAGATACGAAAGTTCTAAACTAGATTCTGTGTAGCAGCATCAAGATTGCACATTCAACATTTACAGTGTTGCCAGTTGGAACAGAACTTGAATATATGCAACTAAGATCGCATTTAAGGATATTTTTTATGATAAGACAGTTCTATGGTCCGCCCGCTTCGAAACCAACCCAAACCCAACAACCCAACCCAACCGACCCCGCCCCATTGGCCCCCCCCCGCCCCATTGAGTAAAAATTTTTCAACGAAGGAATACCTATTCATTTAATTACATTTTATTATTATTATTATTATTTTAAGTTATATAATATAACTGTAGCAAAATGATTATGAGGAAAGGTAAATAAATTAAAATATTAATATAAAATTAAATATAAATGCTTTTAAGGCCACATTGTATTATTTCGGTATATAAATTCTTTAAAAAAAAATTAAAAAAGTTATAGAGGCGCCAAGTATCGAACCCCGTATCTCTCGCATGCAAAACAGGCGCCCTTCCATCGAGCTACCGAGCTTATTGTAGAAATTCTATTACTCGAAAAATGGGAGCAGCTCGTGACACCCAAACACGAGAGATCTAAACTCGATGGGTCTAAAATTTAAAAGCGCGGTGGGTCTAAAATGTGTGGCAACGTCGCACTTCAAATAAGGTTTGGTTCACATTTTTCTTAAATGAAATGTAAATTTTCGGTCGGTTTAGACCTCACGAGTTGCTCCCCTCTGATATACCCATAACCAACAAAATTTACAAAGTTACTGGTGCCATCATAAAGGTACATTGATAATATCAATTTGATATTGTTATTTATATACCAAAAAGCTTTATAACAATAACAAATGATCATAGATATATGTATGCAAGTGATGTTGTATTCTTATTCTATGGTTGACTTCTAAGGAGTGATTTTGACAGTTTAAAAATATATTCAGAGATGAAAGCAGTAACAGTTGGTCAGTTTAGGATTCACAGGTTTTTCTATGTTCTAGGATTGGTTTGTGACATGGCCATGAAATGGTTCTTCAGGGCAACACTAATACATGTCAGCGTCGTCAACCCGTCCTTTTGAAACATTCTAAATTTAGAAATAATAAAATTAATATATTAGATGACCTTTTTAAAAATAATTTGACGAGTAAGCATTTAATATGTATTTTAAATATGTGGATACCTAACTAATATTGTATGTTTTCAGTACTTCCAGAGGATGCCGAAAGTCAAAACTGGTCGAGATAATTAATAAATAAAAATATCCATGTGGCCTAATTGTTGGAACCAGTATATCATCAGTTTATCCAACCTACAGTGAGTGAGAAAAAGGGGAGAAACATACAAGAAGGATAGTAAAGTATAGTATGTGACACAGGTGTGAAACAGAATCGGCAAAACTGGAAACATGACCCCTAATGGATAGTTGTGTGCCATTGGGTCCTGTTTGGCTTTAAGAACTTTTTAAGGAGCCATATTGATATATGTAAAATAGTTTTAAAATGTAAGTATTATGTTTTAAATTCAAAACTTGTTGGCTTTTTAGCAAACCTTGGTTTTTCATTACTTAGGTTGAGTTGGTTCATAAAAAAGAATAATTTGGTTATTAGGCCTTGTGACAATACAAATTAAGCAAAAAAATGCAAAATGCACACTAGTTATAAACTTGTTAGTGTTCTAAAATATATTTGTAAAAACTTATAATTTATATTTCAAATGTTAAATCTTAAAAATTTGTTAGCCTAAACATTAGTTTATAACCAAGGTTTACTATAATTACTATAGTCAATAATTCTCTTTTGGATACATTTTGCTTTTGTAACGTACATAATAGCCCCATAAAATGTTTTGAAAAATGTGTTTTTAAATATATTTAGATATGTAAAAGAGAAAAATTTAACCAAAAAGAATGCAACCTCGAATGTAACAGTGGAGCATTTAAAAAAATCAATTTTTTTTTATATTTAAGGTTACTTTTTTTAAAAGCTAGAATTTTTTTAATTAAAAGTTTATCAGTCTTAATGTTTGTTATATTAGTTTTCTACCAAAAATTGCCCAATATATTTTTGCTTTAAATTTTATGTTTGTTAATTAAATTATTTTTAAAAGGAGTTGGAAAATGGAAGCCATGGGACACCAACCTGAGAGCATAAACCTTAATTACACAAATGCAACACAACCTACAAGTTTGAATAAGGAATCTATTGTACACCAACTGGAGGACATAAACCCTACTTACGTGAAATTCAATGCAAGAAAGAAGACATTCTTGCAAGATGCAGTTTACCCAATACTATAAACTATAATCAATCTTTGCCATTGAATACCCTAAATGCAATAGTGATACTTTCACATTTAACATTTTTGTACTGCATTTTCTAATATCTTAAAGTTAAGTGATACCTATGCATATTCTTATTTTTGTAAAGAAATATTAATGTCATATTAAAAAAAATACCAAACAGTTAGGTATATTTTATTATTAGTTTATTTATATATTGTCCCAAGGAAAACCAAACACCCTGGATAAATAGAATTATTAGTTTACATTGTAGTCCCGAAATTCAGGGTCAAAATGAAAACTTTAAACCTTGTTTACTCAATATTTGTCCAATGATGTTTAGGTTCGTTTTTGTCCAGACCCCTTCTATTTTACCATGTTTATGAAAACAGAAAATAATACCATAAATTCTTTCTTGTAATAAACTTTTATTTTTTTTTTATTTCCAAATATTTTTTTTTAATTAAATTAATTTTGACATGGGTAATATTTTATAACATGTTATAAAATTAATATATATATATATATACACCCTATAGGGTGTCGCAAACGTCCTCGTGCAACTGGATATGTAGACAGTTCAATTTCTGGAAAACACATTTTTTTAAATATTTAAAAAAATTGGGTTTCCAGAACTTGATCGCTCCACATCCTGTTGCACGAGGACGATTTTTTTTATAAGCAAGGCTTTCTGGAAGATGAAGAATTTAAAGTGTAGGATATATCGAAAAAGACAACCATCAGGTGAAACTGCTTTTCTAATTTCGGCAATGCTTCACTGATCAAATTATTTTTTTATGAAATTATTTTCTTATCAAAGCTGTTTTTAGCACCTGTCATTTTGACAGCCGTTATTTTAGCACGTGTCATTTGGGATCTGTCATTTTTACAGCCGTTATATTGGCACCTGTGATTTTATCAGCTGTCATTTTGAGCGTCGTCATTTTAGCACCTGTCATTTTAATAGGTGTTAATTAGGCACCTGTCATTGTGACAGAAGTCATTTAGGCATAAATACAAGTTTTCTTTGGAACACCCTGTTAGATAATTATTAGATTAAGTATACATTTAAATTAACACTAGCACCCTTGGTGCGATTCGTAAGTAAAGAACCATGTCAAACGTCACATAAATTGTCTTTGTATATAATATTTCTTTGAGAGGCCCACACACTAAGGGGTTTGGGGCATATTTTCGTGAGAACCGAATGTATTAGAGTTAGTTTGTAGTCAGGTTTCTTGTTGAACACTCGTGTATAATAATTAGTAAATTACTTAATCAACTATCCGTGTTTAATTAAAATACATTTCTATAACAACCCTGTATAATAATTTGATAAAAAAATAAGTTAATAAAAAAATAAATTGATGAAAAAATAATTTGATAAAAAAATAATATTATTAATAATAAAATAATAAAATTTTTGAAATATTTCATAAAAAAATAATGTTGTAAAAAAATAGTTTGATAAAAAATAATTTGGGAAAAAATGCATATAGGTAATTAATTATTTATAAAGCAAAACAAGTTTATTTTCCACTTTTAATTTTTACACAAACGGCGCCTCATACTTTTCGCTCTCTTAAAAATGCTTATTAAGGAGTATCCCGGACAACAATCGGGATTTTCTGGTGAAGTCATGATGATATCACAACGTGATTTTTTTTATCACGCTGTGATATCCTAAGTGCATACACATGCTTCATCACAGTGATATCATGTAGAACTCACGGTGTGATATTTGCAAAGTTTGCGCATGCGTATGAGCCCTGCGAACTGCGGATTTAAAACCTAGTTTAACACATGATTTTTTATGCTATCGGTGTTTCGGCATAAAAAATCATGACATGATTTTTTATGCCATCGGTGCACCGACATGTTTGGATATTTATTTTTGCGCCACATTCGTACATTGTGAGAAAATGTATGTTAACAATTGAATTAACAGTTTTTGCGGTTAAATACATTTAATATTTTCTTGGATGTAAATTAACTATTAATTTAAATCCAAAAAAATATTGAATGTATTTAACCACAAAAACTATTGATTCAATATATATGTACATAGGAATACTTTATCTCTCAATGTACGAATGTGGCGCAAAAATAAATATCCAAACACCGATGGAATAAAAAAATCACGACATGATTTTTTATGCTATCGGTGTTTGGGCATAAAAAATCACGACATGATTTTTTATGCCATCGGTGCATCGACATGTTTGGATATTTATTTTTGCGCCACATTCGTACATTGAAAGAAAAAGTATGTTAACAATTGAATTAACAGTTTTTGAGGTTAAATACATTTAATATTTTTTTTGGATGTAAATTAACTATTAATTTAAATCCAAAAAAATATTGAATGTATTTAACCACAAAAACTGTTGACTCAATATTAATATGCCTATAGGCATATATATATGTAGGTATACTTTTTCTTTCAATGTACAAATGTGGCGCAAACATAAATAATCAAACACCGATGGCATAAAAAATGACGACATGATTTTTTATGCCATCGGTGTTTGGATATTCATTTTTGCGACACATTCGTACATTGAAAGAAAAAGTATGTTAACACTTGAATCAACAGTTTAACATTCAATATTTTCTTGGATTTAAATTAACTATAGTAAATTTAAATCCAAGAAAATATTAAATTAAACGTG